CAGGCTCACGCGCCCCATGAAAGACTGCGGACGTTTCAAGGCATTGGCCACGCATCCCCACAGACGCAACACAGTACGTTGCACATATTGAGGCAATGAGTTGCAAATACTGGGAACCAATCGTATGCCTGGGTGCAACATGCCAGCACATGCCGCACAAACCACACGTGCAACCCACATCCCTCCATTTCCGCTTGATATCCCGTCCACATATTTTATAGATCCTTCCCTCCCCTGCCGCCCCCGTTCGTCCTCCCCCTCCCCACCCTCTCTCAACTTCCCCCTCCTCCGCCCCCCTCCTCCTCGACCCCTGGCGCAGCTCGCCCTCGCGGCGGAGCGCATTGTGCAGCGCGTCGCCAGGCGAGGGAACTAAGGGAGGGAGGGGGGAGGGATGGGGGGAGGGGGACAGGCGAAGACGCACACAGGGGGGGGGGGCGTGGGAGAAGGAGCCAGAGGGAGGTATGATAGATACGGGGGAGCGGGGAGGGAAGGAATTCGGAGGCAGGGAAGAGAGAAGAAACAGGGCAAGGCGACGCGGCGAGGGGGAGCTTAACGCGAGGGGGGAGGGATGGGAGGGAAGGGGCACCAGGGAGGGGAGGGGCCGGGAAAAGCGAGGATAGTCGGGGGGAGGAAAGAGGCAAGGAGGAGAGACAGAGAAGGTGGGGATGTTGTGGGACAGCGGCGGAGGCTTCCGTGACGACCCCCCCCGGGACCCCCGCCCGTCTGTTTTGTTTCCCGACTTGTGCCTAAACCGGAGGCTTCCGCGACGAGCTCGGGGGGGCCCCGGGCGCAACCTAAACCGGGGGCTTCCGTGGCGAGGGGGCGCCCAAACCGGAGGCTACCGCGACGACCCCCCCCCGGAGGTTTCTTGGTCGGGGCCCTCGGGGGGGCCCTCTCGGGGCCCTCCAGGCCTTCCAATGCGATCTCGGAGGGCCTCCACTTGCGTATATGAACACTGCTGTCCATGACCACTCTCGTATTCGACTGCTATTGTATATCACCCCTCCCTCCTGGCTCATCCCTTCGCCCTCGTCGCCCCCCCTGATGATCAGGGCAAGTCGCCTGGTGATTTTTTGGACGGGCTGGTGGGGATGTGCGGAGCGCCAACAATTTCTGGAAGCCTGCCTGAGGGCCCAAGGGAGCCTCAAGTGCGCCCCGTGAGGCCCGCAAGAGGACCTCGGGAGAGCCCCGCTTGGACCCCGAGAAAATCCAAAGTTAGGACGCGCGCTGCATCCTGATTCAGGAATGTCTCGGGGTCCACTTGATACCCCGTGGGGGCATTCTCCGGGACCCCCTGAAACCCGCCCGAAGCCGGAGGGGGCCCGTGTCGCCGAGAACTCGCTAATACGGCTTTAATACAATCTAGTTACCCCCCACGAGGGCCCAAATCCAATATTCAAAATGCTTTTTGGCTCTGGGCCATCTGGGGATCCATCCGGGGCCCTCCTGGAGCCCCCCTGGGGGTCTCCCCAGGGCCCACCCGCAGCCCCCTCGAACCCGTTGAGGGCCCCGAAGAACGCCCCAGAGGGCACCCATCAGAAGGGGTCCAAATACATGTTTGGAGGGCCCGCATCAGGATGCATGGTGCAACATGAGTTTGGGCCGTTGCGTGGGCCACGCCGGTGCCCTCTTAGGGCCGTCTTGGGCCGCGCTGGGGCTGTCCTGAAGCCCCGAGGATGCCCCGAGAGAACCCCGAGAGAGTCCCAAGGAGGCTCCTGCAAGCGACATTTGCATGCACACTTTTACGTCGTATTGTTTCCGCGTGCTCCCTTGAAGCAAGAGGGTAAGGTTTTCCTCGATGTGGCACGCGTTGCCGTTTGCCCCACGGCGCGGCGTCGTGCTCAGCAAGAACGTCCCCCGCCATGCCATTGCGGTTGCATGATGCACCGTGCACCTTGACCTGGGGCCCACTGGGGGTCGGCTTGGAGCCCTCTCGGAGCTCTTTTGGGGGCCTCAGAAGACATTTTTTCTGAGCCTCGTTGCGGCTTCGGGGGGGGGGGGGGGCTCGCCCAGCTCGCTCGAGGGGGACCGCGAGCTCCGGAGTCCGACCGCCAGCATCAATCGTCTGGCAACCCCCGCATATCCAAACATTCTCGTTAACGTAGGAAAGCGGGGCCCCGGGCGCCAGCCGAAATCGACGGCGAGTTGTTGTCAAATCCCTGCAATTTCCGCGAGGGGCCACTGTCGAGCATTGATTCTGAGACAAACACAAAACGCGCGCGAGTGGTTAAGATGATCGGGTCAACAGTAGCACCGAAAAGTGTCAGCGGGCAATCATATGTTTCATCTAGTTGCGAAGCCGCTCGCGCCCCAAGATGCAGATGCGATGGTGCCGCATCCGAAAACATTGTAGACGCACGCGCAAGAATGGCAGCGATGCCCCCATTGCTCCTTCGCCAATTCCGCCGAACAACCACGCATTCCGACTCGATCGAGGAAGCTGCGCGGCACACTTGCTGCACTTCATGACTTCTGTTTGCGAATTCCTTTGGGGCGGCGCCGGTCGTGCCCCGAGAGCGCTTCGCGCGTGGGCAATTCATTTTGCTCGAGTCTGCGGCCAACGCACGCGCGGACCGCATTGACCTCGAAAACGCAAAAACTCGCTACGCAAGGGTTTGGTTTGCTAGGGGTCGGTTTGGCCGCCCCTGAAGATCCCTGATCGCGGTGAGCTCCCGAGATACTGCCGGCCAGATCTTGCCGTGCCTCTCCCCATATGCTGCTGCAAGGTCGCAGGCGCTGTGGAGGGCGGTCAGCACCTCTCGACGGTTCATAGACGACCAGGTGACATGGCCCAGAACAGCACGAAGCATGTGGCCGCTGCACCACCCACGCCGAAGAAGACCTGACGTAGCGAAATGCAGCCTCCATATGATGCGAGGCTTGATGCGCCCAAATCTCCCATGCCTCAGGATGAGGCCCAGAAAGTCGGCGTCGAGCGAGGCGGGTTCGATCTCATGGACTGGTAGCCCGCGTCGCCTGAACATGTCCACCGCACGCCGCACGGCGTCATCGACAATGGACTTGCTGCCGCCGAACACGAGGATGTTGTCGACTTAAGCGCCGACTGAGCCACGCGTGGTGACGTCCACGCCGGGCTGGCCGTCCTGCGCCGTCATAGCCGCGCCGCGGCCGTCCTCGGCCAGCACAGCGCGGGCTGCTGACTGGCGCAGATGCAGCGCCCACGAGAAGCCCATCGGCAGCACCGCGACCCTGGGCGACGCGCTGACGGAGGGGTCGACGTCGAGGTCAATGAGCCCCAGCTTCTGGAGCGCGCCCGCTCTGATGGGCGGCAGCGTGAACATCGCCCCCATCCCCTCGGGCAACTTCGCGCGGTAGAAGGCGCGCTCTAAATCGCATGCGGGCACGTGCGCGCCGCCCGACGGCGCCTCGATCGAGCCGAAGGATGCTGCTGAAGGCAGTCTCGTACGAGGGGGGTTCAAAAACTTGCAGATGGCGGCCCTCGCATCGAAGATGATGCGGAGGGCCCCCGCATTCTTTGGAACAAAGAAGAGGCCGACGGTGCGCGGCTCACCCTTGTCAGCAGCGAAGGTCACCATCTGCCTCTGACAACATCTGCATCAAAAAACTCACCGTACGTGCTCACATCGCGAGTCAAGGCAGGGTCGCAGCAGGGCCCCTTGGGACAAGCGGGTTCTGCCAGGGACTCTGCAGCACACCGATCTCGAAGCATATGACTCAGCCAGTCCCCCAGCCAGGCCTTGTCCGTGGGCTGCACCAAGTCCACGATGTTGACGGGCGCCGTGCCGACAGAAGGCCGCGCGACCTTGTCGCTGACGAAAGGGGCTCACGTAGCGGCGCCAGATCCATGCAGGTTGGCGCATGAGAGGAGCTCCCGGAGGGCTCCGTCTGCGCCGGCGCTGCCGGGCCAGAACTCCGCGGGCGGGGCTCCCAGCTCGTCGACGCTGTCGGACATGTGCATGATGGCCTGGCGCTGCCCCTCGTGAGCTGCCGCGGCGGACGAGGACCGAGAGCCGTAGAATGAATTAAGTGTGTTCGCGGCGGCATGTACCCTGTCATCTCGATGTCTGCGGAGCCCAGCACGGCGAGCAGAGCGGCGGCCAGCAGCTCCGCCCACGCGCCCGCTGTCCGCTGCTAGACTCGGCAGTGGGAACACATCGCGGGCACGCGGCGCCCCTAGCTGCCAAGGGCCTGCGGCCGGGGCCGCATCGCGGTTCCAAGGGGAGGCTGGCCCATCTGCCCCCCGCCCGGCGCATCTCAGGCATGGCCGACGGGGCTGCGCGGCCGCCCCTCCCGCCATCTCGGCCACGGCCGCGCCCGCGGCCACGTCCTCCGTCACGACCACCTCGGCCGCGGCCATCGCTGCTGCTGCTGCCGGCGGCCAGGTGGCGCTCCCCCCTCGCCTTGCGCATCGCCTCGCGCGCCTTCTCCGCCGCGAGCCAGTCGCGCAGGGCTGGCGCCACGCACGCGCTGCCGCCGGCATCCAGAGCGCCCGACATCAGTGCGGCGTCCAAGCCGAACTCCGACGACGCCGCGAACCTGTCCCGGTAGAGCTCCTCCTGCGTCTGAAGAGTGCGGCCGACCAGCTCCATGGCCGCAAGGTTGGTGACGTGGAGCTGGTCGTAGACTACCCCGAACTCCAGCAGGCGGCAGCACAGGAGGTGTGTGTCGACCCCTGGGTCGTCCGGCTCCAGAAAGGCCTCCGCGACCCACTTCGTGTGACGGCCCAGGGGGGGCCCTCCATTTCGGCAGATGACCTGAGCGGGTCGGGGGGCATAACGGAGGCCCGCGTTTCTACGATTTTCATATTGCTGAAGATGATGACTGCGATGATGAAGATGATTTGGGCTCTCGGCGGTGCAGATGATGACGGCACATATAGTGTTTGCTATCTCAGGCTCTCGGATGCGGGCGCACTCTGGCCTGGCGCGCCGCTACTGTCAGTCGAGCGAGAATGGAAAACGCATCCACTCTTTATAAGCTGGCCCATCGGGCCCCCGCGGCCGCTGGCGCGACCAAGCTCACGCAATTGCAAAAATGCTCAGACCTTTGGAGAGAGGCACGTAGTAGTACTTCTCATCCATCAGAGCGTGGTCCATGCTGAGGTAGCAGCGCGCCTGATACTCGTTAACCGCGTAGCGCCACTTCACACGGTCCTTGTAGTTCGGGAGCTTGCCGCCGTACTTGGACTTCAACCACCTCTTCAGGATGCCCCACTTGCTCTCGATGGCGTTAGTGGTGAATCCCCTGGCGTTCACAATCTCGCCATCATCGTGATCCACTAGCTCGTGGCGCAGGGTGTTCTGCGTGAGTCCCTTCTGGCGGCGAATGGATTTCACGGATGATATGGTCGCGCCCCATTTGTCCGAGACAAAGATGTCGCCCTTGCTGAAGTTGAGCATGTCGAGGTTGTCCTTCATCTCCTTGTGCCCGCGGGGCTTGCCGTCCTTCGCGTCTGCGGGGTGCTCCAATATGCGGAACATGAAATGCGTGCGGGCTTTCCCCTGCAGCACGGCGCCCCATATCCAGATCTGGTCCTTCTTGGGGCGCGCCGCCTTGTTCAACTTCCCTGGCTTGTTTTTGTTCAGGAACGACTCGTCGGCAATGAGGACGCGCTTGCCGATCGTCTTCTTAACCTGCTTCGCGAACTTCTTGGACACCTTCCGCGCGGGCTTCCTCTTCTGCTGCGCGACCTTCATGGCGGGGGCTTTCTTAGGCGCGGGCCGAGCAGCGGGCCGCTTGCGCACGCCGCTCTCTGGCGCCCACAGCTTCTTAATCGAGATCGGACAGATGAGGTCGTACCACTCGCTCGTGCGCTCCCTAAAGGCGAGTAGCCATGCGTCTATCACCTTGTGGTCGATGTGGGACAGCTCGAAGATGATGGTCTTGTGGCTGTAGTCAGCGAACCACATGACCAAGCAGTCGAGCTTGTCCATCCAATGCCCCGTACGCGTGCCATCGAAGAACGTCATGTTAGCGGCGCTGGGCTTCTTTCCGTTGCACTCGTCGCAACCCCCGTCGTGCCGAGGGCCCCGCCAAATCAGCCGCTCTCCGCAATCGCCCCTCTTCCCGTACGACAGCACGTACTCCTCATCGCACGAGGTGCACGCCATGTGGTCAGGGGCGAGCCCGAACGCCTGGGCAAATGCGAACGCCCTCCCAACCTCGTTATCTGGCAACACCTCGGGGTTCTTGACAGTGGCGTACCTAACTTTCTTGAGGAACTCCCCGCGGTTAACTCCGTCCATGTCTTTGACGGCGGCGGAGAACTCGCTCCAATTGTCGTAGACGGCCATGCTGGTAGAACCGCGCTGCTCGCTCGGGGCGTGGGAGGCAAGTGCCAGGGGCCGCGATGAGGCGATCGAGCCAAGGCGGCTACCACGGACAAGCAACGGCGACGATCCAACGCATGGCACTGCGCCGACTAGCGCTCATTGACAAACATCACAAGCCATGCTCTGCCATCGACAACGACGACGATTGCTGCGGAATGGTATTCAAAGAGGGATTCTCCTTCCCAATCTAGGACGGCCCAGACAGTGGCATGAAAGGACATCAGGGCTGCCCTGGACACAGACGGCCTCTTCTAGTATGGCGCAAATGTATACGGTGACAGCGATGATGACAGGACGATAACAGGACCAATCTAGGACAGTATACGGATGACGAGAGGGCGACGACGGCGATGGCAATGGCGCAGCTGCAGCGAAGGCGGCGGCGATGACGAGTGGGTGGCGCGTTTCAGCAAGTCGCGCGTGATCAGCTTCGGATGCTTTGACTGCCAGCCCAGCCCCAATGCGTTGCATTGGCGATGAAATTTAAGTGTCAACATCCAACTCCCATATTCCCACCCACGCGCCCATGCCAACCTCCCTCTTCCCACTTCCCCACTCCTCCACGGCCTGGCGCCCTGCATTCGGCGCAGTCTGTGTGACTGGGGGCAGAGTCGCCTCGAGCAAACAACATCAGCGGCATGAGCGCTGGCTGGGCATGAGGGGCAAATGTCCAGCGCACAGTGGCTGGGCATGGCGACCAGCTGACCCCTCTCTCTCCATCTCTCCTCTCTCTCTCTCTCTCTCTCTCTCTCTCTCACGTGGCCTTTTCGGGAGAGCTCCATGCATTCTCTCTGATACCTGCCTGAGACAATCTACAGAACGGCGCCGCGAGGCCATTGGAAATGCTGGATGGCATTGCGCGGCAGAAGATAAGCGAAAGCGAACTGGCACCCCTCTGCGCGGCTTCCATCCGCAAGCGGTCGTGCAATATCTAAGCGTGGCCATCGCCGATCACCTCCACGGTCATGCGCAGCCCCCACTTGACTGCGACGGCATTCGCTGCCGCGCGGAGATCGGCCACGGCGTCCTCGGGCGTCAAGAACACGGCGCCGTCAAACATGTACGTGTTCACAGACACCCCGTGGATGGAAGCCGCCTCGGCCTCCAGGTCTGCCAAGACCATGTCCTCGATCGAGCTCAGGGCGTAATGGAGTTTCGATGCGGGAGGACAGCGGCGATTCTCAAAGCGGCCTTCCAGGTATTTGAACTTGTCCTGGGCCAGAAGCAAGTCCACCGCCTTGTGCATGTCCACCGAAAGATTCCACAGGAACGGGAGGTCGCAATCTGGCTTGCCCAGGTGCACGATCTTGACCAGGGACTTCTTCGCCACCTTCGCGGACACTGACATGTAGGCGGCGAGAGCCGAGCGCCATGCCTTGTAGTTGGCGGCAAACGCCGCGAGGGCAGGCAAGTCCTCCTGCATCTGGCACATCTGCTCGATCTCCTTGACTAGGAGGGCAACGAAGCAGTTGTTGATGTCAGCCTCGGCGAAAACCTTCGTCCGCGGGCGCCCAGGGCAGCGTTTCGGGAAAAGCGCGGGCGAAACCGTTTTCCGAAACCCATCCTCCAATAAAAAATCGGAAATCAAGCCCGGAACAAACTCATGGCCCAAGCATTCGAAACGCCGTCTTGGTCTCCCACGATTCCTTCCCGCCCTGGAAGGAGTTCGATGGCTCCAGCGACAGCGCGACTGTCCTGTCGTCGCGAGCCATCCACTGCAGGGAAGGGCGCTGAGCCAGGCGACGGCCAGGGATGTCGAACTTGCGGTAGTACGGCACCTCGCAATGGTCGACCAAAGCCCGATGCCCAAACGATGTGCCCCAAAATGGAAGATCGAAAACACCCGAGGCACAACAGCACATTGTTTTGAACCCAATGGCCGCGCGGCTTCGGTCGGCCAATGAAACCTCGATCTGCGCCATGTCGCCGCCGCAGCGGACGCTCCGCTGCATCAGCATCTTCGCGTAGCCTGCGTCGGCAATCTCGCCCGAATCCACCTTCTCAGACAACCTCTGGTAGTTGAACATCTCCATGAGAGACCCGCACTGGTTGCGGACGGCGATCTCTGACATGTCTTCGGTGTCGCCCTCGGGGCGATCCCGGAGAAACTCCTTGCATTCCCACGTGCTGCGCCAAGAGGCGAACCCTCCGCCGAAGACTGCGGCGCCGCCCGCCTGCTCGATCGCATCCTCCATCTTCTTGAGGTCGATGTCCAGTCGTTCGAAGCCGCCGCCGCGACCTTCGCGGAGAGTGAAGAGGTGCGGCCACGTAGACACTGCATCGGAGAAGACCTGAAGGCGGTCCTTCTCGCCATTCCTCCCCTCCCTGTACTTCCCAGGGATGCACTTGATCTTCTTCACCTCGTAGGTCTTGATGATGCCGTTGGCCGCCTGGTCAGCGTGAACGTCGCGGCATATCTTCTCCGCGCTCTCCGTCGCGGCAGTGTCCTCCTCCGGCGTTCGGAACGACTCTGGCACCTGGAGGCCGCCGTTGGCCATGGTGGCAACGATGCGCCTGGTCTCATTGAGGATCTCAAGCGGCGGAGTCATCACCATTGCCCTGCACTCCGACGCAGCGTGCTCTAAAATCCACGGAATCAAATATGTATCCAAATAAGCCTGCCGAGCGAACGGGCTTTCCAGGAACTCGCCCAGCTCGGTGTCCTCCTTAAAGATGCGGTTTTCAACGTCGACCTTCGCTGGGTCACTGGTAAACGTCGCCTGGAGCTTCACAACCCTGATGCGGCGCTCGAAGGCGTATAGCTTCCTGATGTCATCTGGGCTGCCAGATATGCTGGGGAAACCCCAGTTACACTCCCAGAAGCGCGCCGAGCGGTTCCAGCGGTAATAAGCAGTGGTCGTGCCGAACAGAGGCCGGCACATCAAACGATCCCCGCTGATGAACGACTTCATCACGTCCTCGACCATGGGCTCCCCGGGGGCGCACTCCTGAATGGTAAGGATTTTCGCTGACGCGAACTGCCCCCCCTGCTTGCGGAACTCGTCGGGCTCCTGGAAGCACCGCGGAGAGATTACCTTGTGGTGCCCCCGCCAAACGTTGTCTCTCAACAACGTCCGCGCCGACTTCGAATTCCCCCCGTCCGCGTACTCGAGGACGAGGACTGGCGGCATCACTTGGTTCATGAAAGCAAGTGCTTCCAGGGAGAGCTCCAGCTTCCACCCCGACGTCGTCCCCGCGAAGCCTGTGCTCATGAAGAGTCGGAGTTTGTCCACCGCCCAATCGGGGGCACGAACCACGATGCTGCACGGGATGAAGAAGTACGATTTGTGCTCGATCGACTTCGCGACATTCTTCATGCGCTCGGCGCTGTCCTCTGGCTTCTCTGGGTCAATCTTGACACACGCGTCTTCGAAGACGACCACGGTGCTGGGCTGCTCTGGGCGCTCCTCCTGCTTCCATATGCCGACCATTTCCACCAGCGAGCCAGAGGAACTCTTCCCAACGAAACGGGTGGCAACCACCAACATGTTTTTGAAGGCGTCCATGGCCCACGCAGAGAATTCCGCCGGCTTCGCACTGCGGAACTCCTTGGTATCGATCGAAGTAATGGGCGCCAGGGTTGACGTCCTCCTAGCTAGAGGCAACATCGCATCGAACACGGCCGTCACGTCCTTGTTCACGACATCACCCATGATCTCCTTGAACATGGCGGCCGCCTTCAGCAGCGCCAGCTCGAGCCGGCGCACGTCGGTCGCGCTGAACTCCTCGATCAACTGCAGGGCGCCCTGCTTGTACATGAAAACGCCGTCGTCGTGGGCAACGAGGAGCGGGCCGAATACAACTCCCGCGATGAGCATTGCCACGACATCGTTTTGAGGGCTCCACAGGCGGTCTTCCATCGCATAGAGAGAGATGACGTTGAGGGCGTCCTTCTCGCTTTCGTCAGGCAGCGTCGGCCACTGTGCGATTAGCTCGGCCGCCTTGGCGCGGACCTTGGCGATGACGTCGAGCATGTTGTCGGGCTCGCCCTCCACCTCGCGGGCAAATACGAATTCGCCACGCCGCCGGAGAATTCGCTGAAAATCAGCGGGCTCCCAACGTTCCAAAATGCGCTTGGTCGAATCATCTGCATCGATCTCGCGCTGCATGTCCGGCTGGCTGTCCGGCACGGGCGCGTTCATGATGGCCGCGCCTAAATCTCTGGAATATTGGCTTTCAGCAGGGTCGCCGGCGCCCGCGGCGCCGGCCGCGGCGGCGTCGGAGCCCGCCGAGTCCATGCCGCCGAGCGGGTCCACGCACTCCGCGAGGGTCTCCGCGTCTGGAGCGACGTCCTGCAAGAGAAACCACTTGTGGCGCTGAACGCCTGGGATATCATCCGCAGAGAAATATTCCTGCGAAGCGTAGCTCCCGTTCTTCCGATCTGTCACTGTGACGCCATCGCGATGCACGACGACAGCCACGAAGTGCCCGACGCGCTGCTTCTTGCGGGTCTTCCTGGGCAATGGCTCCCACTTGACGTAACGCCCAGGGCTGTTGGGGCCGCGCGGCTGAGGAAGCAGGCGCATGCCACGCTCTGCCAGCCACGCGTTCCCGTGCTCCAGGGCGCGGAAAGGCCCTGTCATATCGGTTGGAACCTGTGCTCCCAAGGCGTTGAGAGCCCAATTTAAACACGTGTTCGTACCTTCGCTTGTATCCTCGGCACCCCCCATAGGGTCGCAGTGGCGCGCCCCGACGCCCCCTGCAGGCGAGTCGATGAGATCGCGCCGACGGACTTCAATGGCGAAGCCGTTGCAGGGAAGTGCGACGCCTGGCAGCCGTCGATTATCAAAGGAATCTGCCTCTCCGCAAGGGAGCTCCTCTTCCCTCTTCAGGCGGCTCTCCATGACCATCCGCCGACCGAGCGCCGCCGCGTGGAGCGAGTCCAGATCGCAGTTGTTCAACACCTCCCTGCTCAAAGCGGTCTGCGAGTCGAAGGCATCGCCCAGCGGGGGTGCTGCATGCGGCTGCGGCGTCTTGCTCTCGAAGATCAGCGCCGGGGGCGGCCGCATGAGCATGAGGTGGCGCAGATAGCAAGGGTCCTCGTCGGCATGAGCTGCCCGCAATCGCCGCGCGGAAAGTGCGAAGGCCTCGTTGTCGTAGTACTGCCCGCACCTGGCCCTCAGATACAGCGCCTTCTGTGCTGTCTCATACTCCGCGAGGCGATGGGCGCCAGGTTTGACCTCCGACGCCTGCGCCAGCCCGTCGCGCCGACTGTCGGCGCCGCTGTGGAAAACGTTCGTGGGCTACGATCGTGAAGCCCCCGAACGGAAGCTTCTCGCCGACGAGTGGCTCGAAGGAGTCGGCGGCGTTGTGGTCGACCGGAAGGCTGTGGAGGGCCTGGGGCACTTGCTGCATCAACTCCCGTCGGCGCGCGGCCGACTGCGCGATCGCCGCCCGAACCGCGCCCTCGCTCAGAAGCTCTTCGAACAGAAGCCCCTTCTTCTTGGAGAAGCACTGTGTGATTTGGTGATCGCCGCCGGGGGAATGAACGCAGGAGTCGAATGTTTGGTGGTCGTCGAACTGGGCAAACTGCCAACCGTAATGGAGAACTGGAGGGCCCGCCGGCTGGTTGAGGAGCTCCCGCAGGAAATCTCCGCGGCGGCCGCCATTGACGCGCTCTAATTGGCGCAGGTCCCCTTCGAATGACTCCATGTCTTCTGCATACCATCCCATGCGCAGCTTCTCGTAGAGCGCCCACTGCGTAGTCAGGAAATCGTCGAACACAACGGGTGCTGCTCCGTAATCGCAAGTTGGCGTGGGCACGGGGCTTGGCGTGCTGGAGATGGCGGGCGCGGGAGAAGGCGACGCACCGTCGCGCGGCTCCTCGGAGGCAGCTCCAGCAGACGACTCTGCAGAAGGGTCACCATCGACGCCAACAGGAAAATGAACCGCACACAAGCATAGGAACCTGCAGCAGAATTTGAAGAAATCTACTCGGCGTCGCCGCTTGCCAACGTCGAGGTAGTTGATCGTGATGCCAGGATTAAGGCGCAGGTCAGCTGAAGTCGCGGGAACGACAAACAGCCTCAGTACGGCGCCGCCGCCTTCGAGAGGGATAAGGTAGTGCGCGTTCTGGATGAGGGTGGGAGGTCCGGCGGCGACAAGAACGTCGTCCTTCTGGGCGGTGCCAATAGTGGTCCAATCGTTGCAGCTTGCGTATATCTCCGTTGCATGCTCCACCTGGTAGAGCAGATGGTCGTGGAGCTCATCGCGCTTCGTCGACATAGTCGGAGTCCACCTGCAAGCGCCGTAGCGCGTGATGTCTGGGCAAGAGTCATCGAAAGCGAGGATGGGAACAATCAGAGCCTCGCCCCACTCCCGCTCAAGGATGGTGGGTTCGGCCCTCTCGATTGCCTCGAGAGTGGCCGAGATCTGAGCAACTGTCATGGCGGCAGCTGGTGGTCTTCTGGGGTCGAAGACACAAAGTGCAATGGCCTTGGCAAGTTGAACCACAAACGGCTATGGAACACAGCAGGCGCACGCCGAAGTGCGCGGCCAATTAACATTGAAGCTTGACAACTCCGTTTAAATTTCTGTGTGTTTCCGAGAATCCCGTTGAGGTTTCCTGGGCATTCCATGCAACCCGTCGGCTCGGATGTCACTCCCAAGAGCTCTCGACTTCCAGCAGAGACTAACAGAGTTACGATGGCTGCTGCTAACGATGTTCCGTGGAGCGTTTTTGAGGGAGTACGCTCCGCATCCGCTGGGCTGCATGCGGCAAGCGAAGCTGAAAGTAGCACTGGGAAACTACGAGCAGCACAGATATCTCAACGCGCCTCGCATCGCGGCGAGCGAACGGCAATGCTGCGTTGCAAGCCGCGCACATGTGGCTGGGCCGACGTAGTCTGCACTCGAAACCCTAGGAGTTAGAAGCAGTGATCAGCCTGAAAATTCACGGGGCCATAAGCGCCTGGCCCAGCTCATCTCATCTTGCCTGGCTTGCGAGGACCTCACGCCGCCCTGAGAACAAATCCCCGCATTCATCTCATGTCGCCGCCACCCCGCCGTCTCCTTCAAGCGCGGCGCGACCTCATATGGCAGACGCGCCGCGATGAGGTCAGCGGCACCGTATTTCTTGAACATGTCGCCCTCGTTGGCCACGGGCTGGGCTATCGCAGAGGGCCCGCTCATCGCGACGATGGCGAAGCCGGGCGTGGGCGCGCACAGAAATGGCGGTCCTTCTCTTGAGCCTGAACAGCAGCGCTACTCTGGAGTAGTGTCTGATGATGATGACGATCATCTATGCGGCGGTGGAAAGCAGAGGCGCGGGTGAAATCCGTGGCGCTTTGTGTTCTGTGTACAGACCACGATGTACAAGCCCAAAGAAATTCGAATTGTGGTTCAATCGTGGTTCCGTTTTGGTTTCCGTCGTAGTTTCGTTTTGGTTTCCGTCGTGGTTCCGTTGCATTCCTGATTTGGCGCTGATGTGTTTAATTTTGGCATTAAGTTGTGGTTCCCTTTTGGCTTCCCTTCCTGGGTTCTCTCCTGGGTCCCTCTCCTGGGTTCCCTCCTGGGTTCCCTCCTGGGCCCCCTCTTGGGTTCCCTCCTGGGTCCCCTCCTGGGTCCTCTCCTGGGCCCCTTCCTGGGTCCCCTCCTGGGTTCCCCTCCTGGGTTCCCTCCTGGGTCCCCTCCTGGGTCCCCTCCTGGGTCCCCTCCTGGGTCCTCTCCTGGGTCCCCTCTTGGGTCCCCTCCTGGGTTCCCCTCTTGGGTTCCCTCCTGGGTCCCCTCCTGGGCCCCCTCTTGGGTCCCCTCCTGGGCTCCCTCCTGGGTCCCCTCCTGGGTCCTCTCCTGGGCCCCCTTCTGCGCCGCAAGCAACTCCGCAGATCTCAAGCACGAATCGGTTGTGAAAACCATACAAACGCCAACTATACTGAAAACTCTGAAATCAATATTACATTGTGTATTTGCTGTTTTTACCTCTGCCCATCCCGGGTGTGAGTCCTGCGCCGCAAGCAAGTCTGCAGATCTCTCAAAAGCAGAAATCGGTGGTGAATCCCGTACAAACGCCAACCATAGCGAAAACTCAGAAATCCATATTACTTTGTGTATCTGCTGATTTTACCTCGACCCATCCCGGGTGTGAGTCCCGTGCCGCAAGCAACTCCGCAGATCTCTCAAAACCAGAAATATGTAGTGAAAGTCATACAAACGCCAAGCACACCGAAAACTCAGAAATCAATATTACTTCGTGTATTTGCTGTTTTTATCTCGATTCCTCCTGACTGAGAATACTGCTCCGCATGCAACTCTGCAGATCTCTCGGATGTAGAAGCCTGTAGGGAAACCAACACACACGCCAGCATGCCAAACTCCCTGAAATCGATACAACTTCTATATTCAGTTGTTTTTACTACAAAAACACACGTGTGATTGCATATCGCACAAATCCAGGGACAGGCTGCCGAGCGCCGCACGGCTCGTTTTACTATATCCCGCGCGGCCGCTAATCCGCAGCATTCACCTCTACAACTCACGCCTGTTCATGGGACAGGCTGCCGAGCGCCGCGCGGCCTGTTTTTACTATATCCCGCGCGGCCGCTCATCAGGGCCCTCGTCTCTACTGCTCGCCTCTCAAGATGCTCTCCAATCTGCGCTGGCACCGCTCGCGCCTGTTACGCTCCGCGCGGTCGGCCATCTCAGCCTCCTGGGAATCATATGTATATATGATCTATCTATCTATCTTTCTATTTATCTATCGATCTATCTATATATATATATATATATCTGTCTATCTATCTATCTACATATCTGTATGTATATATATATATGTATATATATGTATATATATGTCTATATATCTATATCTATATATCTATCTATCTATCTATATATCTATCTATCTATCTATCTATCGATCTATATATACATATCCATATATCTATATATCTATCTATCTATCTATATATCTATCTATCTATCTATATATAACACAATGCGCGGTGCCATTCTCCATCCTCCTCCTCCTCCCTTCCTCCTTCCTTCTCCAATGTTCTCCCTCCTCCTCCTCCTCCTCCTCCTCCTCCTTTCAAGTATCCTCCCTGTGTGTATGGTTTCTAAGACCCAATCCTTGTCCAGCTCGTCCATGGTCACGCCCCACTTCGCCAACGCCGCGGCCGCTTTGGCTGCAAAGCCAGCGGCGCGAATGCGGGCGGCTTCCTGAATGTCGCGCCTCTTCTCCACGAGCTTCGCATTCTCGTTCGCGGAGGGTTTGTTCCAGCGCGACTCGTGGGAATCGATGGAGAACCAGACTTCCTTGTCGGACTTCGTCTTCCGCAGCTCCCACTCCGCATCGACCGCCCACTGGGCGATCGACGCCGAGAGAGCTGCTTCGTCGGGCGTCTCTTGAAGAAGATCCCCTGGTTTAGGGATGTCGCTGCCCTCGTAGACGGACTCGCCGTCCTTGGCCGCAGGGCCCGCGTCGTCCACCTCGTGCTTGTACCAACACTTCTCTCCGTACGAGCAGGACCCAGCCTTGTAGTGGAAGCACGCAGGGCGGCTCCCGTTCCCGTTGTCCGTGCTGCTGCCCGCCGACGCGTCGGCGCCGCTGTGGTAGAAGCGGCAGCGCGCACCGTAGGAACACCAGCCTTTCTTGAAGTCTCGGCACAGGGGCCGCCAACCCTGCTTCGCCCAAGAGTGGTGGGCCTTCGCGCTCTGTTGGGTCTCCTCTTTCCCGCCCTGCTGCTTCCCTGTCTGTTCGTCTTTTTTCTCCGTCGCCTCTTTCGTCTTTTCTTTCTCTCCTTCCTTTTGGTGGTGGCCGCCCTCGTAGTGCTGGTGTTTCTCCTCCCCTTTCTTTTGCTTCTTCGCCTTCTGGAGGGCCTCCTCCTCCTTCTCGGGGTCGAAGAGCCATTTGCCTTTCGGCTTGAACTCTCTCCCTCCGGCCACTGCTTCGGCCCATTGCCGCTTTTGGCGGGAAATTTGCTTCTGATTGGCCGACATCGCTGTCGTTGTCTGAGAGCGCACTGATTGCTTAAGCCAAAACTGCTATAGAAATCATGTCTCATATCCTCGCGTCCTCCTCCTCCTCCTCCTCCTCCTCCTCCTCCTCCTCCTCTTCCTCCTATTCATCACCATTCTCCCCACTCCTTCATCCATCCATCCATCCAGCTAGCCTCCTCCGTCTCCTCATCCCTTCTTCGCTCGGCTCGGCTGTCCCCCTCTTTGCTCCCACACTTCCCTGGTCACCTCAACTCGCCTGGGCGTCGTTTCTGGATGGGCTGGTGGGGATACGCGAAGCGTCAACAATTGTTACGCTGAGCGCTCGGTGGCTCCCTCGAGAAATTCCGAACCACGAATCTCTTTTGAGGAGGCCCTGGGGCCGTGCCGATAAGGAGCAGCAGGAGGAGGAGAAGTAGGAGGAGCAGGAGGACGAGGAGAGGAGGCAATGCTATTGAAGTGCCCCCCCCTCTTTGTTCGATCTCCTCCCAGATGGCCCCAAGAGGCGCCGAGGAGTGGTCTCGGAAGCGTAACGGGTGCCTGCGTTTTCAAAGTTTTTCATAAGGCGGCCGCTTCTTCCTTTCCGTGATAAAAAGAAATCCTTCTGCAATCCGCCACAAAAGGAATCCTTTTGTAATCCGCCTCAAAAGGAATCCTTTTGTAATGCGCCGTAAAGGGAATCCCTTTGTAATCGCTAGCAAAAGAAATCCTTTTGTAATCCACCACAAAGGGAATCCTTTTGTAATCCGCCACAAAAGGAATCCTTTTGTAATCCGCCTCAGAAGGAATCCTTTTGTGATGCGCCGCAAAAGGAATCCCTTTGTAATCGCTAGCAAAAGAAATCCTTTTGTAATCCACCACAAAACGAATCCTTTTGTAATCCGCCACAAACGGAATCCTTTTGTAATCCGCCTCAAACGGACCCCGTTTGTAATGCGCCGCAAAAGGAATCCCTTTGGAATCCGCCACAAAAGGAATCCTTTTGTAATCCGCCACAAAAGGGATCCTTTTGTAATCCGCCCCAAAAGGAATCCTTTTGTAATGCGCCGCAAAAGGAATCCCTTTGTAATCCGCCACAAAAGGAATCCTTTTGTAATCCGCCCCAAAAGGAATCCTTTTGTAATGCGCAGCAAAAGGAATCCCTTTGTAATCCACTACAAAAGGAATTCTTTTGTAATCCGCCACAAAAATAATCCTTTTGTAACCGCTTCGGAAATAGACTGCGCCCCCCCCCGAACAAGTAAAGGAAAAAGAGGAAAAATTATCCTGGCGAAAGACCCAACCATAAGCAATTGTTGGTAACGCGTTGTGGGTGCCGCTTTCGGTGGGGCTCCATATGGGGCCACGAAGCGCTGCCTTGGATGGGGGAACCGCATGCGGACTGCGCCACCGGGGCGGGCCTTCGGTGGAGCTCCCTATGGGGCTACGAAACGCTGCCCTGGGTGGGGAACCGCATGCGAACTGCGCCACTGGGGCCTTCGGTGGAGCTCCCTATGGTGCCACGAAACGCTGCCCTGGGTGGGGGAAGCGCATGCGAACTGCGCCACGGGGGCTTTCGGTGGAGCTCCCCATGGGGCCACGAAGCGCTGCCCTGGGTGGGGGAACCGCATGCGAACAGCCCACTGGGGCCTTCGGTGGAGCTCCCTATGGGGCCACGAAACGCTGCCCTGGGTGGGGGAACCGCATGCGAACACCCCCACTGGGGCCTTCGGTGGAGCTCCCTATGGGGCCACGAAACGCTGCCCTGGGTGGGGGAACCGCAATGCGAACGCCTTCGTGGAGCTGGGGGAACATGCGAACACCCCCACTGGGGGGCCTTCGGTGGATGGGGCTGCCCTAACCGCATGCGAACACCCCCACTGGGGCCTTCGGTGGAGCTCCCTATGGGGCTACGAAACGCTGCCCTGGGTGGGGGAACCGCATGCGAACACCCCCACTGGGGCCTTCGGTGGAGCTCCCTATGGGGCCACGAAACGCTGCCCTGGGTGGGGGAACCGCATGCGAACACCCCCACTGGGGCCTTCGGTGGAGCTCCCTATGGGGCTACGAAACGCTGCCCTGGGTGGGGGAACCGCATGCGAACACCCCCACTGGGGCCTTCGGTGGAGCTCCCTATGGGGCTACGAAACGCTGCCCTGGGTGGGGGAACCGCATGCGAACACCCCCACTGGGGCCTTCGGTGGAGCTCCCTATGGGGCTACGAAACGCTGCCCTGGGTGGGGGAACCGCATGCGAACACCCCCACTGGGGCCTTCGGTGGAGCTCCCTATGGGGCCACGAAACGCTGCCCTGGGTGGGGGAACCGCATGCGAACACCCCCACTGGGGCCTTCGGTGGAGCTCCCTATGGGGCTACGAAACGCTGCCCTGGGTGGGGGAACCGCATGCGAACACCCCCACTGGGGCCTTCGGTGGAGCTCCCTATGGGGCCACGAAACGCTGCCCTGGGTGGGGGAACCGCATGCGAACACCCCCACTGGGGCCTTCGGTGGAGCTCCCTATGGGGCCACGAAACGCTGCCCTGGGTGGGGGAACCGCATGCGAACACCCCCACTGGGGCCTTCGGTGGAGCTCCCTATGGGGCTACGAAACGCTGCCCTGGGTGGGGGAACCGCATGCGAACACCCCCACTGGGGCCTTCGGTGGAGCTCCCTATGGGGCCACGAAACGCTGCCCTGGGTGGGGGAACCGCATGCGAACACCCCCACTGGGGCCTTCGGTGGAGCTCCCTATGGGGCTACGAAACGCTGCCCTGGGTGGGGAAACCGCATGCGAACACCCCCACTGGGGCCTTCGGTGGAGCTCCCTATGGGGCCACGAAACGCTGCCCTGGGTGGGGGAACCGCATGCGAACACCCCCACTGGGGCCTTCGGTGGAGCTCCCTATGGGGCCACGAAACGCTGCCCTGGGTGGGGGAACCGCATGCGAACACCCCCACTGGGGCCTTCGGTGGAGCTCCCTATGGGGCCACGAAACGCTGCCCTGGGTGGGGGAACCGCATGCGAACACCCCCACTGGGGCCTTCGGTGGAGCTCCCTATGGGGCCACGAAACGCTGCCCTGGGTGGGGGAACCGCATGCGAACACCCCCACTGGGGCCTTCGGTGGAGCTCCCTATGGGGCCACGAAACGCTGCCCTGGGTGGGGGAACCGCATGCGAACACCCCCACTGGGGCCTTCGGTGGAGCTCCCTATGGGGCCACGAAACGCTGTAATGGGTGGGTGAAACGCAGAGAGGAGGGAGGAGAGGGAGGAGGAGGGAGGAGGAGGGGGAGGAGGAGGAGAGGAGGAGAGGAGGAGAGGAGAGGACGCGGGCACCGTCTCTTCAAAACGAGGACCCAACACCACAGGATGGTTGGGAAAAAAATGAAAAATATGAAAAAAACTGTAAAAACACAGCGAAAAACATGAAAAAATGCAAAACTATTGAAGGGAGAAAAGGAAAAATATGAAAAATTGCAATTACAACAGAAATTCTTTTGTAATCTGCCACAAAAGAAATCCCTGAGTAATCCCTTACAAAAGGACTCATTATGTAATCCGCCACAAAAGGAATCCTTTTGTAATGTGCCACAAAAGGAATCCTTTTGCAGAGGACTACAAAGGGATTCCTTTTGTGGGGGATTACATAATGATTCCTTTTGTAAGGGATTACAAAGGGATCTCTTTTGTGGCAGATTACAAAAGGATTTCTATTGTAATTGCATTTTTTCCTATTTTTCCTTTTCTCTCTTCAATAGCTTTGCATTTTTTCATGTTTTTCCATGTGTTTTTACAAGTGTTTTCCTATTTTTCCTTTTTTTCCTCTTTTTCCTTTACTTGTTCGGGGGGGAGGGCGCCGTCTATTTCCGAAGCGGTTACAAAAGAAATCCTTTTGTGGCGGATTACAAAAGGATTCCTTTTGTGGTGGATTACAAAGGAATTCCTTTTGCGGCGCATTACAAAAGGATTCCTTTTGGGGCGGATTACAAAACGATTCCTTTTGTGGCGGATTACAAAAGGATTCCTTTTGTGGCGGATTACAAAAGGATTCCTTTTGTGAGCGATTACAAAGGGATTCCTTTTGCGGCGCATTACAAAAGGATTCCTTTTGAGACGGATGACAAAAGAATTCCTTTTGCGGCGCATTACAACATGATTCCCTTTGTAGGGGATTACAAACGGATTCCTTTTGTGGCAGATTACAAAAGGATTTTTATTGTATTTTGCAAAGGTTTACGCCCGCTGTCATTTTGCAGGGGGCACCCTTTCATCCCGAAGCCGTCAAAAACGCAAGGGGCGGTTACGCCCGCCGAGGCCCAGGGGGAAGGAGAGTGAAGAGGAGAAGAGAGAGAGAGAGAGAGAGAGAGAGAGAGCGAGAGAGAGAGAGAAAGCAACTTGAAAACCTCATAAACGCGGGCCTCCGTTATGCCCCCCGACCTGAGCACCCACAGGAGCGCGCGAGGGCCCTTGAGGGGCTAGTCGCCCCATGGCAACTCATGGAGGCGGACCGCGGCAGCGCGGAAGTCGACGTACCTCACGCCCTGCGTATCCAGCGTGACCGTCTGCATCCTGGCGTCTCCACCTGGCGCGCCGGCGATGGCTGCGAACCCTGCCGCAAGGCCGCTCAGGGCTGCGCCACCTGGCACCGCGACAGCCGCGCCGCCCAGCGCGCCCGCAGCCGCACCCATGGCACCGAGGGCCGCGCCTCCCACGGGAAAGGGGGCAGCGGCGGGGGCCGGGGGAGGCGCGGCGGCGGCGGGCACCAGGACGCCGCCCCCAGCGGCGCCACCGCCAGGGACGCCCCCCAGCGCCGCTGCAAGCCCCGCCAGCCCGCCCACTGCGCCTGCGGCGGGGGCAGCCGGCGCCGGGGCTGGGGCGGCGGCAGCGGCACGGCCTGCAGCCGGCCCCACTGGCACGATCACGCGCCCAGCCGTGTTGAGCGCGATCGGCGGCCCAGGGGGCAACCCCAGAGCCGTCCTCGTGGACGCCGACGCTGCCGCCACCTCCCCAGGTAGCGGGAGCCCGCGGAAGCGGTAGACCTGGTCCGCTCCCGTCTGCGGCGGCACTCCGCCCACAGCTCCGCCGTCAGGGATCGCGTAGTCCCTGACGTCCGCGCTGTTCGGGGCGATCGCCTCCACGTAGGCGTGCCCGTCGGGCGTCAAGATGCCGGTGCCGAAAAGCGCCGTCGGCTGCAGCACCACGATCAAGCGTTCATGCCAGATCCGCGCACCTCCCACGCGGTAGAGCACCAGCACGAAGTCCCCCTCGTCGAGCGCAGCCTGCGCGAGAGGATGGCCTGCCGCCGCGGCGGCCGCCATCGCCGACCAGTGGGCCGCTCACGGATCAGCGCCGCCTGCGACCGGGCCCCCTCCTCCAGAGCGAGCCCGAGGCTTCCTGGAGAGGTGCGCGGCGCGCCACCTGCCAGACGCGCGATGCCCCAGCCGCAGGCGAGCCCGCCCAGCAGCGCCAAGGCGACGGCTGACAGAGGCCACCCCGCCTGCTGTGGTGGGCAGACCAGCTCAAGCGTCTCCTGGCCCGAACCGCAGACCAGCGAAGGCGCGCAGGAGCACGGTGGGCACTCCGCGCGGGCAGCCCAGAGCAGCGCGGCCTGGGTGGCGCCCTGGACGGCCTCGCTGGCCAGCCAGGCGCAGAGGGACATCGAGTGCCTGCCTGCTTGCACTTGAGCCCGAGGCCAGCGGTGCATGGCCTGACAAGTGCGGCACTCTCTGCTAAAGGGCTCTGCTTCACGTTTCAAAGCTGGACACACATATATCCGCCGGCCCCCTTGTGGGGCCACCAGGCTGCGAGGCGCGTGATTCGCAGTTTCCTGTACCAGTTGTAGTTTCTAGTTTCCAGTGTTACAGTTATGCTTCTTGCTGGTTACTGTAACTAGTTGACTTCTTGCTGGTTACTGTAACTAGTTGATTGACCGCGCGAGGGGGGGGGAGGCCCAAACAGGATTTTCCAGCGTCCCCTGGGCGCGTTGTCTGAATTACTGGGGGGGCTCGAAATCGACACCCCTCACGCAGATCCGCGGGGTCAGGGTCCAAAAACACAAGGGATTTGCCACATTTCTGAAATTCGGTGCCACCCCTCACGCAGATCCGCGGGGTCAGGGTCCAAAAACACAAAAGATTTGCCACATTTCTGAAATTCGGTGCCACCCCTCACGCAGATCCGCGGGGTCAGGGTCCAAAAACACATGGGATTTGCCACATTTCTGAAATTCGGTGCCACCCCTCACGCAGATCCGCGGGGTCAGGGTCCAAAAACACAAGGGATTTGCCACATTTCTGAAATTCGGTGCCACCCCTCGCGCAGATCCGCGGGGTCAGGGTTCAAAAACACATGAGATTTGCCACATTTCTGAAATTCGGTACCACCCCTCACGCAGATCCGCGGGGTCAGGGTCCAAAAACACAGGGGATTTGCCACATTTCTGAAATTCGGTGCCACCCCTCACGCAGATCCGCGGGGTCAGGGTCCCAAAAACACAAGGGATTTGCCACATTTCTGAAATTCGGCGCCACCCCTTATGCAGATCCGCGGGGTCAGGGTCCAAAAACATAGGGGATTTGCCACATTTCTGAAATTCGAACCCATCACGCACATCCATCGCAAGGCGTGGTAACCCAAACTGCGAGAACTCCCTCGGCCCTTTCATCGCAAGGTGTGGTAACCAAGCCCTTAAACCATACACGTCTTACCAATCGCCAGGTGTGGTTACCCCTCTTGTGATCAGTTGGTTTTGCTGATTGCGACTCGGCTTCGCATGAAGTTTCGATGCTGCTTCACGACAGCGCCAAGGCCTCATGACTTAGCTCTTCCATGGCCCATTCTCCGAGAGAGGGGGCCGGCGGCAGGGGGCGAAGCCCTTGCGGATATATAGATATACAAAAATATATGTATGTATATGTATGTATGTATATATATATATATATATATGTATGGCTCCCCCCCAAGATCATACATCTCGTCTTAGCTCAGCTTAGCTTAACTTAGCGCAGCATTAGCATAGCATAGCATAGCATAGCGCAGCATAGCATAGCACAGCGCAGCATAGCATAGCATAGCATAGCGCAGCATAGCATAGCATAGCTTACTTTAGCATAGCACAGCGCAGCATCGCATCGCATATCATAGAAGATCACATCATAACATAGCGCAGCATAGCATAGCATAGCACAGCGTAGCATTGCTACTACTACTACCACTGCTACTACTACTACTATTACTACTACTACTACTACTCCTACTACTACTCCTACTACTACTACTACTACTACCGCTACTACTACTACTACTACTACTACTACGTCTAATACTACCACTACTACTACTACTACTACTACTACTACTACTACTAGTACTACTACTACTACTACTACTACTACGTCTAATACTACCACCTACTACTACTACTACTACTACTACTACGACTACTACTACTACTACTACTACTACTACGACTACTACTACTACTACTACTACTACTACTACTACACCTACTATTACCTACTACTGCTACTACTACTATTACTACTACTGCTACTTCTAACTAACCCTACTACACTCTACTTACTACTACTACGACGACTACTACGACTACTACGACTCCTACGCTACGACTACTACTACTACTACTACTGACTACTAGTACACTACTACTACTACTACTACTACTACTACTACTACTGTACTACTGAGTAATACTACTACTGTACTTAGTACTACTACTAGTACTAGTAAGTAGTAGTAGTAACTAACTCTACTACTACAACTACTCTACTACTACGACGACCTACTACTACTACTACTTTTACGTAGTACTACTACTAGGTACCTAGTACTACTACTACTACTACTACTACTACTACGACTACTACTACTACTACTACAACTACTACTACTACTACTACTACTACTACTACTGGCGGACTCGTGCACCATATCACCACGGCCCAACCACCTTGGGAGGAGCGTCCTTGTGGCTGCCTCATTGCCAGTATGTAGCGGGCACCTCTTCTGGGTGAAAGGGCGGGTCAGACGTGCATGCAGCGCCAGGCGCTTGTCCGAGGGAAGCTGGCCCCTACGGCCCAAAGTGAAGCGCCAACGGCGGTGCAGCAGCACACGGGGCGACCCCGGTACCGCCACCCAGGCCAACTAGCGCAAGAAGACGCGAGAAGAGGCCAGGACGGCAAGCCAAGGGCGGGTCTGACGCGCACGCAGCGGCAGGCGCTTGACCGAGGGCGGCTGGCCCCCACGGCCCAAAACGAAGCGCCAGCGGCGGTGCAGCAGCACACGGGGCGACCCCAGTACCGCCACCGAGGCCAACTAGCGCAGGAAGGCGCGAGCGGAGGCCAGGATGGCAAGCCAATTTAAAATGGCAAGGCGCCCAAGGGAGTCGCGGCAGCACACGGGGCGGCCCCAGCACCGCCAGCGAGGCTCACGAGCGCAAGTGAGCGTGAGAGGAGGCCGAGATGACAAGCCAGTTGGCGGGCCAGAGTAGCTCGGCGCACGGATGACCGCACGCATAGCAGAGGCTGAAGCCACTGGTGCTGCCACGCGAGGGGGGTGCCACTGTGGGCGCGCCGCACTACTGAAAGTGGCAGGCAAGAAATCTTGGCATGGACTCACGTGGCCTGTCGAGGCCATGGAACCTGCTGGGCTTCATCATTCAGGCCGGCTGGCCTGCTCCCTGCGCGATGGCTGCGAAGACCTGCGACGGCAGCGCCTGCACTTCCCCCCCGAGGTCGCCACTGCCGCCCGCCTGCCCTGGGGGCCCAAAGATCTGGCGCTCGAGATCTTCGCCGAGGGCCACGTTCAGGGCTGCAGCATTTGGGATCTGCTGCGGGAGCGGGTCCGTCGGCGACGGCGGGTCCGTCGGCGGTGGCGGCACCGCAAGGGGCGCCGTCAGCGGCGGCGGCGGCGGGGCCATGATGGCCGCTGGCGGGGCCCCGACAGGCGGCGGTGGCGGGTCCTGGCTGCCGCGGGCCCCACCCGCTGGGGGGGCGCTGGCAGTGCGGACGGGGGCGGCGCGCGGGGCGACCCCTGTGCCACCCCCGCCGCCCGTGAGGCTGCCCTCCCGCAGGTTGTGGCGGCGCTCGTAGAGCGCCAGCTCCCTGTGCGCCATCTCCAGGCGCTCCCTCTTGGCCTTATTCCGCGCCTTCTTGCTGTAGCCCGCCCACTCTGGGTCGTTCAGTCCCCATGCGACCTGCGCGTAGAGGTCGGTCCACTTGAACTCGGTCAGGCTCTCCCAGGAGAGCCCCTCCATCAGCGCATAAGTGGCCCTCCCACTGTGGCTGGTGTGGAGCGTAGCGCTTGAAGACGGTGCCCACCGCCAGCGGCTCGACCTTGGGCAGGTACTTCAGGAGGTCCACCGCGCTGAACACTGGTATCTCCTCCTTCTTGAGCTTGTCGTAGCGCAGCAGGGCCTTCAAGTCACGGATGTCCTCCTCGGGGTGCTCCGCGTGCATGTAGTACGCACGTGGCGGGTTCAACTCTTCCTCTATCAACTCGATGCAGACGCCGTAGGAGGTCGAGTAGCGCGCACCGCAGTGGCAGTGCCAGCGCTGGCCCGTCTCCCCCGCCGCCTCCTGTGCGCAGGTGACCAGCTGCGACCAGCGATCCAATCGGATCACCGAGCAGCACCCCCTGGGATTGTCCCAGGTCTTGTTGGCCGAGCACTTGTAGTACATGTTGAACGTGAAGCCCTTGCCACGGTAGAACTGGTCCGTGTAGTCGCCCATGCGGCGGTAGGCCTCCTGCGCCGCGGCGTTGCCCTGGCACTCCTCCTTCCAGGCACGTTTGCGTCCCAGGTGCGCGTCCGCAGTCCCCGAGGCTTCCAGGGGGCCCTTCTTCAGCCTTCCCACATCCTCCTCTGCCTCCTCATTCAGCGCGTCGAGCCACTTCTGGGCCCCGTCCTGCGCCTCTGTGCCCCTCACCATGTCCTCCTTCTTCTCCAGGACGGGCCCCAGGCCTCCCAGCATGTGGGTGCGCATGGTCTCGAATGTGAGGACGCCATAGGCCCGCGCCACACGCTTCAGAGATTTCTCGGAGAGGCCGAGCCGCAGCAGGGGCTCGATGTCCGTGACCTCCTCCACGGTCTTGACGTCGGTCAGCCGGTGCCCCTGGTCCTCAGCATCGATGTCGGGCTGGGGGTCGCTCTCTTCGTCACGGGGAGGTCCATCCTCGAGGGGCGGGGGTGGCGCACGGGGCGGCCCCGGCACCGCCCCCACCTCCCTCGCCATCGGGCGACCGACCTCCTCCGCCACCGCTTCCGTGGCTGGGGGGGCGCCCGTGCTCTCGGGGTCGATGCCCACCCCAACGCCCTCCGTTGACCTCCGCAGGGCAATCAAGCCTTCCTCGGAGAGCGCAAATCCCACCAGCACGTCCATGCCCTCCTTGATGTAGTCGAAGCTCGCACGGAAATTCGCCACTCGCTTGGCGGCGTGGTCGATGGAGCCTGGGCCCCTGTTCGAGCGCGCTGCGCGCGTCACGGCCTCGTGCTCGGCGATGTTCTGCGTCGTCGCCACGCAGCGCGAGCACGTGTACAGCTTGCACTGCCCCTCTTTGCCCCTCCTCAGCTCGGGGCATTGCTGATTGCGCTCTTTGGCCTCCGCATAGCGGCGCATCTCCCCACAACTGAGCTCGTCCACG